TTTTTTTTTTTTCTTTCCATTTTGTCTTAGAGCTGATAATTATTTCCTGGTAATCTGCATGTCCTTTTTGAATCTTCATCATATTCAGCTCATGTACTATACCTGGGGAGGGTAGTGACACTTCACCCTCCTGTACTCAGTTACCAAACTTCTTTTAGAGAGGGATGGATTTTGAACTGAATTTTTGTATATATAGATAAAAGGTATTGAAGAAAAAATATCATCAGAAACAGCAAGAAGGATCTCTCCCACTAGACAATTGTGATAGAATTAATGCTTTTCCATTTTTGAAAGGGTCTATAGGTAGAAAATGACAGGAAAACATTAAATAATCTTAATCCTGTTCCTGAAAGGCCCATTGTCTTAACATTTTCTTGACAAGCTCACAACAGTCAATATACTGGCCTTTATGGATGACATTCTTACACTGCAAGTCCAGAAGGATTATACAGGTTTCCTGCAGGAGGGTTTTTTTTGTTGGTTTTTTTTTGTCCTTTTTTTGACCTTTCAGACAGGAAGTGCTTGTTTGATTTTTTACATTACTGCCTTTTTTAGTTGATCTGCTGTAGGGACTGATCTCTGGCTTTTCCCATTTCTTTCTTAGACTGGTGTTTCAACACCTGCTTGTCCAATTGCCCTTATTAGGTCTCACTCACATGGCACACATGTTACAGATTTTGTAAATTTTCCAGTCTCACTGTGTTTATGAGTCCAGTATGCTTACAGTCATATACTATCAAATATAAGTTTAACGTCAAAACTGATTTGGATAAGTAAAATGGAGTAGGTATGTGAGTGTTATTTATACTTTTGGAAGTGATAAAAGTAACTATTAGACTTGTAAAGTCTTCATAATCACATAATCATTTCAACCCTCTGGAATTTTTTGCCAGCTGCAGTTTTGATACCATCGGTTCAATTTTTTAAGTAAATGGTGTACTTCCTGCTTGGTGTTTCCTCTTTAAATGACTCCATAGTAAGTTTTGGTTGTTTTTGTTTTTTTTTTTCAGGTCTCCTTTTTTTTTTTTTGAATAATCAAAGGGGTTCAGATTTTCTCAGCATGACTTTCTACAGCAGATAGATTCTTGTGAAAAATCTAATCTTGAAAAAGTTATTCTTGTCTTCCCATTTGCTACCTTTTGAGCCTTCCTAACCATACAGTCCCTGGAGTAGCTGAGTCTAATTTTTAACAGTAATGATAGGGTGTCTTTGTATTTCATGATTTGGAAATTCCCCCCAACTCTGTGATCTGCTTTGTGGCTTTTTTTTCTCAGTCTCATATAGAAGCTTTTCAGCCTTACCTTGCAAGAGCCTTTTCATTATGTTTACTTTTTTATTTTTCTCAGTTTTTCACTTTTATATCATCTTCTGTTTTTCATGACTCTGCAGCTCTTCTTTATCCCCTTTTTTCACAAATATTCTTACAGGAACTGTTTTTGAAATAGTTTATAGAGCTGGTATCCACTAACAAATCCTCCTTTTCTGAGATGTCTGTTCAGGTGACTATATCATCTCTCATGTCCTCATTACTTATTATCCATGTTTCTGTAAAGCCCAAGTACTCCCCAAATTTCAGCAGCTATGTCATGCTGACACCATTCCTTTTCAAACATCTAACATTTCTAACTCCCTTTAATTTATTCTTGTTCAGCTTAGTACCAATCTTCTTTAGTAGCTATTTTCATCATAGAGGTATTTGAATTGATTACCTAACAAAATGGAATGTGTTCTCTGTCTTCTTAATTTTTTGTCTGCCTTTGTAACTGAAACTGAAATTACTGTTGCAATACTAAAACTCCATCTATAAGGAAAGAAAAACAGGGCTTATTCTTTACAAGCCAAACCATGCAGATAAAAATGAATCTTTGTATGTGTTTCAGAAAAAAAAGAATATTGTGCCTTGTGGGATCAAACACATATTTGATGATCCCAGACAAATCAATAATGATATCGTATCACTATTGAGTGATATCAGACCTCTTCCAACCTCTTTGCAAATGTGCCAGTTTCAGAAAGTTATAAAGGATCCTTAAATCATTTATTTAGATAAATGAAGAACTATACCAGTACAGAGGCTTTGCTTACAGAGATTTACAAACCAAATTTTTTAAAAATATCTAACATAGCAAAGGCTGGAAAATGTGATAGTGACCTATGGTATCCATCTGAGGAAGGTCATATAATTCCATGCCTTACAAGATCACACAGGAAAGCTGCTATAACATAGACTTTTGGGGAGTTACTCCATGTTTCCTCTTAAAATACCCAGAAAACTGCATGCACAGTGTAGCCAAAGTCTTGTAAGCCCTGTGTACAGATAAAATAATTTATCAAGGCAAACGCAGTTAGGAAAGCCTCTGATATCCTTTGAGGGATTATACATTAACAAAAAGTTTAAATAAAGACCTTATGCTAAGATCTGGTAGCTAATATTCTATACAAAAAGTGTGTTATGAAACAAAAGTCACCTTGTATTTTGACTAGAACTGAAAAGCACTTACAGTGAGCATTATCCAAGAAAAAGAGTTAATTCAGGTCCTGATTGAATGTAAATGTAAATCTAGGCAGAATTCTTTGAAATCAATGAGTCTGTGATCTGATATTTTGATATCAGTTAGAATGAAATGCCCTGCTACTGTTCAGCATTGATGGTATACTAATTTCCCAATGACCAAATTAGGAGAGAAGATTTTTCAAGGAAGTATACCAAAATACAATAACTCAACTAATTCCTTTTCTGCACAGGTAATTAATTAAATAAGCTAGCTTCTTCTGTTCAGTTATAGAAGAATTAGTAGAGAATATTAAACCTTACATAATTTTGAGGTATTCAGATTTCTAAATTGATTTTTAAAAGCCTTATATACAGATCTATATGTACACAAAATCATTGGGAAGTGATAACAAAAGTACAATGACAAATGCCATTAAAAATAATTTACTTCACCATACTGTTTGCTTTTATATCAGCACTTCCTTTATTCCCCCATGAATAAGGACTGCTCTTCTGTTTTCAGAGAATATCAGCATACCTATGTTTATTGTGTTTATGAGTGGGTCTTTGTGCCCTAGTGCTTTACACTTACTAACATCCCTAGTAATATCTAGACTAGGGAATATGATTGGTCATGTAATTTGTGTTAGCTATTACATATAAAGGATATATTTGTTAATATTAGGCCATCTAAAAGTAAGGATAATGAATGAAAAAGAATTTGTGCTATTCCATTTTTATGATATTGTCTTTTTGGAAGCCATTTTGAAATACTATGTTTTGTTGTATTTCTTATCGTACAATGCTAGTCTTAGTCATGTGCATGCAAGTATCTTTACACAGTCACTGGAGTTTAGTAAATAATGCTATATGATTTTTTTCTGCAAGGTTTCATCACATGTTTCTAATACCAAATCATAAAGTTTGTCAATAGCCATCATAAGGGTGATAAAAGCGATGATACTACTCCAAATCACAAAATATCCGCATTAAAAAATGCAGTATCACTATACATGAGATTTTCAAAATATTAATTTTCAGTTTACTTAACTCTTTCCAGAATTTCTTCAATAACATCTCAGATTTAGTCTTTTGGGTTTATTCCTTCTTAATTATAGGGGAAAAGGAGACTATTTCACAAATGTCATTCATTTTTGGCACAAGTATGAGGTAACACACTGAATTAATCTATGATTCTTCCTCATCAGTCTTATATAAGGAATAGGATAAATAATAACACCACCTTTTAATTCAAAAACATAATGATGATCATTTAGCAACTGATAAGGTAAAAGGTGCTTTCTGAAGACCTTTGTGATACTATAGGTTGTCCACAGTCACAGTTTATAGAAATACTTTACGACTGTGACAGACAAGCCTTTAAAAACAGCAAGCTGAAATTATGGAGTGTAAGATACTGATGTCAGAGAAAGGCCTGATATATTGACTATTTTCAGCTGTAATCAGGACTTGAAATAATGATGATATTAAAGAAGAAGTATCTCAATAATACACATTTAAGTATTGAGGTTTTTAATTTTTCCAAAATGAAACAAAACAAAACAAAACAAAAACCTCCTCTCCTCAGAATAACTTAACATAAGAAAAGAAACAAACAAAACAATTTTTTCTGGGTTTATTTCCTGTTTTGTTCTGTGCCGAGTTTGCAACACCAAATGTCAGCTCCCTATGGAAAAGTACTAAATCTTCTCAAGCCACCATTATCCCTCCATAAATAATCACAGCTAAATACCTAGAAAGATGTTTTTAGAATTATTTTATTTTCTTCCATTAATTTAAGAAACATTTGCCAGTTAAAGGAGTAAATGTACATATTCACCTTGTAACTTTCATTATCTAGTAGCTGTTACATTTCAGAGAAAACATACCACTTATGTTAACCTGATTAATATCTAATCCTTTTTCTCTGGTGTTGTGCTCCCTCTTCCAATGCCCCTCCTGTTCTAAAGTCAAAAGCACCTAAAGAAGAATGGGAGAGAGGGGGGGACGGGCATGACATTCACAGCAAGTCATCTGTATCCTGAGGTCTTCATTTGGAGGAGTAGAATATTTATAATGGGGATTTTTTCCTCAGTCTTGTGGTTGATCTTTTGGCTCTTCTTCCAGGTGATTTCCTTATATCTTTTTCTCATTGTTTCCTAGCTTCGATTAACATAAATAGCTACTGTTTGTTACACAATGCCCAGGTTTGTCAAACCTTTACTAGATGAAAATCAAAAGTTAGGTCAGAGAATAAGCACTTGACCTCCAGATGACTGCTGAAAAGAGATAAACCAGCTCTGGCCAAAGCAAGCCCAGAGAGGGCTGAATGCTGTGCGCTGTCAGGCTAGTGCGTGGCCTGCAGCCTTTTACTACTAAGAGCAAAAATTACTGGATTGCATGTTTGTATTGTTTGTCAGGACTGTCATACCTAAAAGAATGGAAAAATTGACTGATACCTATCTGTAAAAAAAATGCTTCTTTTTATGTCATTGTTTGATTTTAGCTTGGGAGCAACAGTACAGTTCTCCTGCGATGAAGATTATGTGCTACAAGGTTCAAAAAGTATCACCTGTCAGAGGATAGCTGAAGTTTTTGCTGCATGGAGTGATCATAGACCTGTGTGTAAAGGTAAAGAGGAATTCTTACCCTCATGGTGATTTGTTCATTTCACATCTTGCTATCATTTAATAGCCAATCCTATTAAATTAATATTTTGTAAGTGCCTGAAGTTTTAATCCTAGGGTCACTC